ACCCGCACAAAGCCGGTTCATACACCTTCAAGTTCGCCAAGGACGGGCATCAACAGGGCACGCTCGTCATGTATGCTCTGCCCCACCACGTTGAGTCCTTTGATGACACTACGCGAGCAGCAGTTCGTGAGGTGAAGTTGCAGACCACAACCAAAGGCATCGCAACTGCCGTCATGGCGGATCAGTGGACCATGGTTGAGCCAAACCTGCCCTTGGACATGACTTTTGCTCCCTGGGACCCCGAGAGGGGCACCATGACGAAAATGTCGGACGAAGCGAGGGCTTTGATTCGCGGGATCGCAGTCCAGGAGGCTTCCCAGAACATGGCCGCCCAGTCTGACCTGGACTCGATGTATTTTAGTGGAAAGGTGAGTGCAAGATTCGGATTATGAATGAACCAGAGCTAAGGCGATCATAGGCACTCGCAAAGTTCGCCATCATGCTCACGGTCATCAACGACCTCCTCGAAGACAAGAAACTTGCCGAGCCGGCGCTGGGGAAACTGAAGCAGGCATTCGCGCGCTTTGCCGCCAACAAACAAAAGTTTCCCCTAGTGTATGAGCGTGAGTACTGCCAAATCCCCATGATGATGCTGCAAAACTGACATGTCTAGGATCATGGGGTGGTCTGGTCTCGTCAGCTTCCTATGTCACCGGAAACAGCGGCGCGGATTTCGGCAACACGGACTACAACGACCACCACTTCCACTACGCATACCACGTCTTGGCCGCCGCCGTCATCGGGCATCTGGACCCCAGCTGGATCCCCGAAAACATGGCGTACGTCAACCTGTTGGTTCGCGACTTTGCGAACCCGAGTGTCCACGACATGTACTTCCCGCAATCCAGGTCCTTCGACTGGTTCCACGGTCACTCCTGGGCTCAAGGTCTTTTTGAGTCGTGGGACGGTAAAGACCAAGAGTCGAGTTCTGAGGACATGATGCAGGCATACGCCATCAAGATGTGGGGTACAGTGTCGGGCGACGCCAAAATGGCGGCCAGAGGAAACCTCATGCTCTCCGTCCAGGCCCGTTCGCTGCAGCACTACTACCTCTATACGAAGGACAACAAGGTCCAGCCGGCCCAATTTATTGGAAACAAGGTCGCGGGCATCTTGTTCGAAAACAAGATCGATCACACGACCTACTTTGGCGCCAACATTGAGTTCATCCAGGGCATCCACATGATTCCTCTCCTCCCCTCGTCGCCGCTCGTCCGCACGCGTCAGTTTGTCCAGGAAGAATGGGACGTGTACTTTAGCAACGGTCGGGCGCAGGATATCCAGGGCGGGTGGAAGGGCATCATCTTTGGAAACCTGGCCACGCTCAACCCGAAGGCGGCGTGGGACTTTTTCAACTCGACCGACTTTGATCCTAGCTGGATCGATGGCGGCGCGAGCTTGACATGGTACCTCGCCTATTCCGCCGGTAAGTTTGCCGAGCTCGACCCTTTCCCCACGATTCGTATGTGCTAACAATTATAGTCCTGGGCGGCCTCTGATGGTAGGCGATGTGTGGATGAGAGGGAGACGAAGGCATAGAGAGAATGACGCTTTTGCTTTCGAAGAGGAGGACTGAACAGAAACAGCAACGCCCGCTAATGAGACACGGAATACGGAGAAACGACAAACCTAGACGACCAGCACCTAGATACCACGATTCGATTCGCAAAATGGATACATGAAAGGCAGCAATCGATGCTGCCACCACTTGACCCATGTTCCTCATTGTAACTTTTCATGTGCCTAGAATGACCTGTAGTGAAGCAAATGGCAAGCGGCAAATATCAGCCTAGAAGGGTAGAAGTGCAGCCGCGCTGCGTCACTGGTGAATACTTTGTGTCAAGGCTTGCTTGAATAAGACGACGGTCAGCCTTGCCAAGCGATCGAGTCGAAACAAGCACAATAGCACACAGATCACAGTGACAACGTGCGTGGGTACCACCCCTCCTTGTGTAGATCAGATCGAAGTTCCGCCTCCTCCAACCCGAATCTTCGGGTCAGGGAGCTCTCTCTCTCTCTCTTAGAGGGGGGTGAGAGCTTCGAAAGCTTGACTAGACATCTATGCAGGGACTCTCCATCGGACAGGGTTTCTCTCTCCCGAAGCAAGACCCAAGACGCAACGGTGTGACAGTATTTCTCATTGAAAAGCACGGGCTAGGCAAAGATAGACACGACGAGACGAAACAAACAAACGTGGGCGAATGAATCCAGGAAGGAGGGGGGTCTGATGAGGGTGACGCGTCATCAACCCGATCCCCCGGATTTTTGCGTGCGGCAGGGGGATTTTGCGGGGCGCACGCGGCCTGGCGATGGGGACGGGAAAGGCGTGGTTCTTCTTTTTTTTTCTGGGTGTACATGTTGAGTTTTGGCGTAGGAGGGGAGGGGGGTTGGAAAGCTTGGCTCTGAAGCTTGGTTTGACCTCACCTGTGGCGTTTCTGGATTGGACGATGGCCGGTATGTCTGCTTGGAATCGTTTGCGTGTAGATGGCGTTGCGAACTTGGTGATGGCACAGAAGGAAGATGTCTTCGCGACAAGATGTTGGGGCAGCTTTGGAGGCCATGACCGAGTTGGGTGACCTCGATTGTGTAGTTCTTTGGGCGGTCTGCTTGGCTGACTGTCGTGCTTGCCGGTGAATCGATAGAGGCCGCAAAGCCTTGTGATTAGATGTATTGCCAATGCCGGACATCCGAATCATTCGATATCAAGAGTAGTCGTCCCTCAAGTGATGAGCCGCTCTGATCACTGCCCTCCGGACGCAAGCTCAGACGCAAGCTGACCGGACCCACATTACCTAAGAGACGTCATGGCAGGCAGATTGTCAGAATGCCTCCGACCCGTCTCTGCCACCGGAATCTTGGGCCGACATCAGGGCGCTGATCGTGGACGGGATCTGTGTAACCCAGCTAAGCTGCTTGGTGTACCATCTCCGAAGCCAGCGGCGAAGCAGTCAACCTATTTGAGCCAAGCAGTCCGCCGAGTCTTAATAGACCTAGAGGCCCAGGGGCTCGAGCATCGTCACGGGCTGTGCCTACCGCCTGCGCCGCAGGGTAACGCAAGATGAACGGCCGCTCCGTCAGCAGCGCGAGGCATGTGTTGGTGATTGAGCCAAGACACGCGCTTCAGCAGAGTGAGGCGGAGGGTGACAGGACCGCACTCGATCATCCATCCGGGTTGGCTACCTAACCGAAATGCACGTGGACGGCACTGCCTGGATTGCAAAAGATTGCAAAGGCACCATCTCACTCACCTCCGTCCGGGTGAAGCGGTTCGGCGCAGGCAGGCGGCGTCCTGTGTTGCCAGCACACAGCCCGCCTGGGGTCCAGTCCGAACGAACGGGGGGTGAAGCGACGCGTCAGGCGCAGGTGGTCCATCCTTGGTCCAGGATGGAAGTCTTAGGCTCAATGGATCGTTGTGCGGGCTTCCCCTGACGTTATCCTCGAACAGCGATTCGATCAGAGGCGGCCACAGATGCGTCGGACATCGTGAGGTGAGCACAGCGGGCGACGGGGTTGGGTGGACAAAGGGAGGCGGTGCAGGGCGATTGGCCGAATGCCAAGCTAGTGGTACATGTACTGGCACGGCGTGTAATGAAAAGGAAGTTAACGTCCCAGGAGGAAGAGAGAGGAAAAAGCAGGAAGTGAGAGTCAGAACAGAGAGCAGAGTGAAATCTCACACATCAAGTGAGTGTCGATCAGGTCCACGTTCCAAGACCTCTGGCGTTGGTTGCTCGCGGTGCTTCTGTGCGTTGCTGGAGCTTCGAGGTTTCATTAGCGTAGAGGCTTGACGCAAAGGAGCCACATTTGACGACGGAGCTTCTTTGGCACATGGCAAGCCTGGGCCTCCCTGTTTCGTTTGATCGTGCATGTCATCATGGTGGGGATGTTTTCAGGGGAAGCTGTATCGACATTGCGTCGTATCGAGGTTTATTGGTCGTTGTCTCTTTTCGTGGGAGTCCTCGATGGAGAGGAGGCCAAACGGGTGCGCTGAAACCTCGGTGCCGCCCCTCACGATTTCAATGGCATCGTGAAACAGAACAGAGGACACAAAAGACGAACGCATCCGGCCATGGAGCGGGGTGGTGACGGGCACAGGGCACACCAGCCAGTTGAAATTTCGATGCAATCAGTCAATCAGTGGTTGTACAGTGGACGACGAGCAGACAGGTCAACGGGTTGAGCATAGCCACGCTCAACCCCACCTCAGAGCCGCTGCCCCATTGGATGGGGCGCACCTGGAACAGGATACCCTGCCGTCACAGTGGCCCGTGACTGGTTGATTCGTCCATGACGTGGGATACCTGCAGGAATTGTGGGTTGCTACTGGACCTCTGATCTTCCGGCAGGAGCTACCCTGGCCGGAGCTTCACCTCTCTGTCTCTTCCTTCCCATCGCTCATCGCGCACACATACCTGAGGACCTTCCTTACCATACCTACCTAGGTACCTAGGTACCTAGGTACCTTACCAGGTAGTAGTGTACTGCCACAGACCCCCGGAGGCCGCCCACTGCCTGACCAGGGCATCTTACCCGCATCGACTTTCGCCCGACCGGTCTGGTAAACCTCCCACGTTCATCTCTATCGAGTCAAAGCATTGCAATCAACACCACGATAATCTACCTACCTCACCTCCTCCTCTTGCCACTCAACCACCTTGCAGGTCTTTTGCCCACACCCTGGTCCCTACTTTCGTCTGCTGCACTCCAGAGTCTAGCCGTGCACCGCAGAAAACACCCTATCCCCCTTCTGATACCACCCGAACCTTGACTAGGTAGGGGGGCTGTGTCTAATGAGCCGCTGCTCAGTCTCCATCTTTGACGCCGCGACCAGCGCTTCACCTGCCCCTTCTGCCACTACCGCTGCTGTCACGGTCACCGCTGTCGCAGCTTGAGAGCGAGACAACGCGCGCGACTGCCCCGTTCCGACAAGCAGATTGACCGCCATCGCAAAGGCGAAGGCTTCCCTGTTCGACCCTGTTTGACCCCACCATCTGAAAAGTATCCTTTACCAGACATCGCGTGCCCAACCAGCCACAATGGTTTGTAAGTAGTACCTGCTTCTCTCCTTCCATCGTCAGTCCGCGCATCCACACACCTCCTCCTTCTCTCCCTGCCCTTCCACATCTCTGCCTGATCCTGCCTACCTACCTTACCTGGGTACTAGCCACGGACCGTGTCACACACGAGAAAGAAACGCTTTCTCTGCTAGTCCACCTCACCTCATCAACTCCCCTTACCCTCTTCCTCGTTTTCCCAATTTTCCTGGTCTGCATCGTCCTGTCCTGCCAGTTCGCTCCCAGCCTCGACCACATCCAACTCTTTCCGCCGAGACCCTCTCTACCCAAGCCCCAGCTCAAGTCAGCCTCGTCCTGCCTTGCCTTTTCCCACACCTGCAAGCCTTACCCAACAACCCGACGACAACAAGATCGCCGCCAGATCCTTCATACCATAGCACACCTCGGCTAATTGCATGGCCCACGATGGCCGACAACAACACAGCCAACGTCAGTTTCCGCGAGCAGGTTCGCCGCACATGGGACAGCAACACGAGCAAGCCGGTATCCGACGCCGGTCGTGACGATGGCGCCAGCGAGTCTTCACCACTGCTGGGCAACGGCTCCGGCGGCCAGCCCCATCTGAGGGACGCCGACGGCGACGAGCCTCGCGCGAATGGTCACTCCAGGAACAAGACGGTTCAGTTCTTCTTCGATACCGAGAGGACGCCCGGTAGCGACAGCGACAATGTCTTCGTCAAGTACTCAGCCTACACCTGGCACGTCACCAAGGTGACCCTCCTCAGCAGTACGTTTTTTCCCCCTTCTCCTTGCGCCTGTTGAGTCTCCTCCCTTGGCTTGCGACGGCGGGCCTTGAACCCTCTAGCACTCGACTGACATGCCCGCCTCTTGCGCCAGACTATGTCAACTTCCTCCTCTTCATGGTGCCATTGGGCATTGTTGCCGGCAAGATGGGCTGGGGTGCGACTGCTGTGTTCACCATCAACTTCTTCGCCATCATCCCCTTGGCTGCCGTTCTCTCCTATGCTACCGAGCAGATCTCCATGAAGCTGGGCGAGTCCCTCGGCGGTCTCCTCAACGCCACCTTCGGAAACGCCGTCGAGCTCATCGTCAGCATTGTCGCCCTCAAGGACGGCCAGATCGAGGTCGTCCAGTCCTCCATGCTCGGCTCCATCCTGTCGAACCTGCTGCTTGTCATGGGCATGTGCTTCTTCTTCGGTGGCATCGTCAACATGCGCGACCCTGCGAGCGGCCTCGGCATGGAGCAGAGCTTCGCCTCGGCCACCGCCCAGACAACTTGCTCGCTCATGGCGCTGTCGTCGGCGTCGCTCGTCATCCCCGCTACGGTATGTGTTTTGCCAAAACTCACCCGTCTTCCCTGCGTTCCACGCTAACCCTTGACCCAGCTCTGGTCCGTACTAAACCAGGCCGACAGCCCCGAGAAGGAACACAGCATCCTCGTGCTTTCGCGCGGCACCGCCATCACCCTCCTTGTCCTCTACGTCATGTACCTATGGTTCCAGCTTCGCACCCACCCCAACCTTTTCGATTCCGAGGTCCAGCTTAGCGAGGAGGAGACGGAGGAGCCCGGCCATGGGGCCCCGTTGCTGCCGGTCTTGTCCTTGTCGTGACCACGGTCCTCGTTGCCATCTGCGCCGACTACTTCGTGGGCAGCATTGACGA